CATCCAGACCTGTTAGAATCTTATATACCTGGATCATGTCCCCCCTTGATCTCATTTGCTTGAGGCTGAACAGATTCAGCTCAGCTAATGGAATCATTCTTGTAGCCCTGTGTCGAACCCTTTCTAAGGCAGTGATGTCCTTTTTAAGGTAAGGTGACCAAACCTGCAGACAAATTTCTAGGTGGGGTCTTACTGTCACGTATGGAGCTGGGAAACAAGTGAAGGGAGTCGTGGGAACGGATAAACACGGGATTTAATCAGGGCTAACACACTTGAAACACACAACAACGTTAATGAATGGACTGGGGAAGACATACCTAACACAGACTTGAATACATTGAACTAATCAACAATCAGAATCAGAATCAGAATCAGAAAAACTTTAATTATCCCGGAGGAAATTGCTCGTAGCAGTAGCAGAAACAGCTGGTAAACACAGAGATTCCACATGAGGTACCGAGGGGCCGTGGCACACGGGAGGAGCGGACGAGCAGGGCGTGACACTTACCAAGGAACTGTATAGTCTTAGTATCACCTCCCTTGACTTAAACTCCATACAGCTAGAGATGTAACCCAACATGCTATTGGCCTTTTAAATTGCTTCCTGACACTGGTGAGAGTGGGATATGGAAGCAGCATACACATCAAGGTGTTTCTCATAATCAGCTACCTTTATTTCAGTGGAATCCATAAAATATCTGTACTTTATATTTCTGCTCCTTGCATGGATTACCTTACATTTGTCTACACTAAATTTCATCTGCCAGGTATCAGCCCAGTTGCTAATTAAACCAAGGTCCCACTGTAGCTTCTGTGCTGCTAATTCAGTATCTGCTACACCACCCACCTTGGTGTTGTCTGCAAATGTAACCTGTCTACTGTATATATTGGTGTCAATATTGTTAATGTAAATTAGGAATAACAGTGGTCCTAAAATTGAACCCTGCGGTACCCCACTATGAACACAGGCCCACTGAGACATTGTGCCTATAATAACTACCGCTTAATTTCTGTTAATCTGTTTTCACATGAATCATATCACCTTTAAAAAGTTAGAATAGTCATCTGAAGGAGTTGACAAAATATCATATTTCCTCTAACAACACGTGTTTCTCGTAGGAGCCATCTTGTTTATCCTCATTTGATAGTGACCTCTTGGAACTACTAAAGTTAAGTCTTTTTTACGGAAAATTTCACAAGAATCTTGTACTTCATTGATTATTCTGTTGACACACTATGGTTGTGACACACATCTTAACAAATAGGTATGAAAGGAAAAGAATATTAAAAAACTTAGCAGAGCTAGCGCAGTCTCATAGCATGAGGAAGAACAAGAAACTGGTAGAGGGGTTCTAGAAGTTTTAGCTACCCACAATTATTCTTGTTTTTTATTTTATTATTATTTATTTTATTATGGTGTTGATAAAAACTCAGCATACAAGTTCAGTCAGCTAGAAAGTACATTAATATCATTCTTTAATTGTAACTTTAGATACTCCTGAAATTATTTAGTAAGCTACTTACACATAGTAATTATGATGTTTAAGTTTACATTACTTTTAATTCCTTTTAAGCTGTTGTAATATAATGCTTCATGACAATGGTTTTTCAGGCACTGGTCACATATTATTTCCTGTTTAGTCTTTTGGTTATTTCTATGAATAATACATTTTGTCCCAGATCTCAAGAATCAATGAATAGTCATAACTGTGTAATATTTGCCGTGAAATGCATGTGATCTTTTGAGCATGAAACGGTGAATGAGTTTCTCACAGGCAAACTGTTATTAGGACTAAAGTGCCTTCCTTCGGGACGGGAGGCCTGAATTTCTGTCTCATTGCTGGCTGTCCCCTGCAGAATACACACATTGATTTCTTAATTGCACAGTGAACACAGGCAATCCTAGGTAAGAAGTAAGCCACGTGCTGCATTTTGCTGTGGGTGCTAATCAGCACAGCAGTCATTGCATCTCGAATGTAAGATCAGTGTGAAAGTGTCTATGAAGTGTCTATGGGCCAGGAGGAGTCTGTGCAGCAGAAAGAGTCTGTGCAGCAGACGGAGTCCGTGCAGCAGTCAGGCCATGAGGCCTTGGCGCATTGGCCATGCAGCTGTATTTCTGCATTACTGCAGATAGTTGAATAATTGACTCAGGAAACCATAGACATGCTTCAGTGTGACTCTTTCACTAAGCACACCTTTTCCATGCTTTGGCTTTTGTTTAACAGATACATATTCAGATAGTTACATGTAGCGAGCTACAGCCTGGTTAAAATTTAGTTAGCAGGAACTATTAAATAACAGTCAGTTTACATAACAGTCAGTAAATCATTTCCATGCCTTATGATAGCTCAGGGTAGTCAATGGGTCTAGAGAATTTATTGGAAGTCTTGGTTTCACTGTGTATGACGATTTTGGGTCCACATGCACAATTAATAAAGTGTGAGTATAATATTAATAATACTATTAATATTATGCATTGCCTGATTTTAATTAGTTATATGTTAAACTAGGATAAAAATTTTCATTCCTTTCTATGAAATGAACAGCGTATATTATAAAAATTGTGTTTAGGTTAATTGGTGGTTCAGTTAATTTTTTTCAAAGGAAATATATTAATAGTCACTGATTTATATGATTAACACTGTTTTATTTGTTTTAAGGAGCAAAATATCAAAAGATATTTAGATGCAATTAGTCATTTTTATCACCACAATAATTTCTAATACTAATAAAGCAAGAGTTCAGTTAAACCATTAAGTATAATGTGATTTCAATTGTGCAGTTCAGTCAGCAGCTCAATCTATCCTAATAAAGATTTCTACTAGATGAAAAATCAATGTATTGCATGTGACTCAAGGACAAAGATTTAACAAAAAAAGGTCCTAAACATTTTTTACTCATTTCAGATTGCAAGATACTGACATGACCTACAAATTAACAGTTACTTCTTACTCTGAATACAGCAGGTAAAATATTTAACTGCCTTGGAATGTATTTATATATTTAAGTCATTTAACACAGATTCCTTCAAACCCTCCATATTGTTTGCAAGGTTAAAAGGCTGTGCTTCAGTTACATGCTAAGCAGCTTCTCTGAATCAGTGTCTTAAAGTGCAACTCCCATGCCTATTTTTACACACATACAGCCTTTTCAAGATACCTTCATGTTTTATTTAGCTAAATAAGCAACTTGGCAATAAACAAATCTTAAATACGGTACAGAAATAAAGGTGTTTCCCTGGCAGAGACTCGTCAGAGCATTACTATAAGAAAATTAATTTCTAAAATTCCTAAATAACACAAATCTACTAATAAATGTAATGGAAGGATCTTTTATTCTAAAACGTGGCAAGATATACGCTGTATGATTGATTAAACAAAAATCACAGATTTTTACTTTTTATCACCTTATAATCACAGAAAGTTGCAGGTGGAATCCAAGTCCAAGATTTGATTATACAAAATCTGTGACAAAAGGCATGTTTCCCAAAGTAAAATTACTTGAACATGTAACTTGAATAGCACTCTTAAACATATTTACTAATGATCTCTAGTCACATTTATTTAAATTTCTTTTTACTCCCCAGATTCACTGTGAGTCACCAAACTGTCATAAGATCTTCTGGATTTATAATAAGCTCTTGAGGAATGACTGACCTGTAGCAGATTTTTCCTGTTCATGTTAACATGTATCGCTGGGCTCATACCTACAGCACTGAACGTGTCTCAGATGGCACTCCTGGTGGGAGAAAGGACGGGCTTTCTTTTCGGGGAGGGGCTCCCTCTCGCTCGTTTCAGGTAACTGTACGCAGACCTGACTGTGGACCAACCACGCCCCTCAACCGCAGCCACAGTCTTGGTTAATTACCGGGCTGATATAACCGGTGCTGCCTGTTCCCTCGTTATGAGGAATTAAAGTTCTATGGCTTATATCCGGCCGTTCTTGATCCCTATTTTTCCCCAGTGACTGATTCACTCTTCTGTTCTGTTTATAAGCAAAATTTACTATTATCTGACAAATAAGTTCCATGGGTTCCATATCCTTGTATTATCGCACATTATTCAAAATAGTGTTAGTTGAGTTTTCTGAGAAATTATTTTCCAAATGTCAGTTATTTTTCTACTAACATTACAAATCACCGAAACACATATTGCGCACCTTATTATTGCTTGTCAATAAAAATGCTGCCATCGTGTGGTCAAACTTTAGTCTTCCTAAAGCAAAAGACGTAAATCTTGTACATATCCCCTTTCGGCGTGTTAATCTTTAACCTTCATCGAGTGAGTCTATTAAGAGGGTACGTGAAAGTGTCTGTATTTATTTACTGAGCTTTCTGGTCCTTCTATTTATTTATCTATATATTTTTTTATTTTTAAATAATAGCCTACTATGTAATACGTTCGATCTATCCCCAATTCATTTGTAACTCCGCAGATATCGTAGTTAAGTAGACAAGTTTATGAAAGCAGTACAAATTGCTATATCAATTAGACCTATAGTTATCACATTTTTGTATTTTCAGTAACAAGAAATAATAAAAAAAAATCTACTTTGAACTGAAGCTGAAATAAACGAAAGTTCAGATAATTAATAATAATTAGTTGCCTAGGCGTAAAAACCCATTGTATGACCATTGAAAAGTTTTAAATAACGGGTATAGAACACCAAATATTGTGTATTTTTAAGTCTGAAAATTATAATGCGCAAAAAACGGAAGTAGCCTTAGCACAAATGAGAATACCCAGAATCGGTTTTGATTTAATGAACTTTTATCTTTTTAAGGTGTGAAAGTTTAAACGACAAAGAACGTAGACTATGCGACGTGTTACTTGTCTGAAAAAAAAAACGAAACTGTCCCACATTAGCGGAATTGATATTCGGAATATTTCAAGTTATTTCCTCTTAAATCATTTTCTCCGTGACGCTAACTGGTCGGAAACCGCTGCGCGGGGCGGTCCGGCTTTGCTGAGAAAACACACTTAAACAGCCGCATCCCATTAACTTTCATATTAGAAGGTTTTGTTGACCCATCAAACGCATCAAAACGAGGAGTTAAACAATGACCTCCGAAATCTGTGCAGGTAAGTAGAAATTTTCTTTTATTTCACATATTTTTGGCACTTAGCCTAATGCTAAAATACTAAAACTAGAAATATTACGCAGAAATACGAAGTAGTTCAAAGAAACTATTTCAAACACCCCAAGGTAATAATAATAACAAAACGTTTATGCGTTTTACGATAGTATAAAAAACAATGTGCCCGGTGGCCAAGTTTAAACTTACATGTGGTTTTGATGAAATTGCGCCATATTTCAAACATCAAAAACTGGGATGTATTTATTTATTTATTTTAATTGTTCGTACAACCAATGATAATTTACGTTTGCGTTCTAGATCTGGAGGCTGAACTTGGAGAATTGCTCCAGGAATTTCAAGACGTGGTGGAGGAGCTGCGGGACTCGGCACCGGCTGCCCCGAACGTCTATCAGGAGCATCTGGTGCGGGCGAAGAGACGCGCCGGCGTGAGCGACGGAGTCAGCGACAGCGGGATAGACTCAGACCAAAGTGAGTGACCCTCAGCCACTGTTTGCTGGTCATTCACCTATGTACGAATCTAACATTTCCACGTTATGTAGCATCACGATCAAAACACAATATCAGACACCATGACTATAGTTATTAATTTCAGTGTATGCCCCCTGGAAATAGTTCATTTTTTTTTTTTATCTAATCATTATGTAACCAAGTAAGCTGAGTGACAAGTTGGATCCAATCATGTAATGACTTGAGGGGGAAAGAATATATATATTCTTGGCACCATCATTACTTTATAACCAGCGTATGAAACACAGATTCCACCTTTCTCCATCTTTCTTCATCATAAGTAGCATTGTCATTTTAACAAAGCTGGTAGGAGGCTGACTATAGTGAGTTTACAGAGATATTTATAGGGACATGTATATCTATAGGGCCAATAATAGCCCCATGAATGCAGTATAGTATAAGTACAATCACTACATGGATAATGCTTACTTGAAATCACTACCTGTAAGGGGTTTGCGATGGTTAAAACTGGGATGTGTACAATGAGGAGTATATACATAATATGTTATACCTGTAGGTAGCATTTATATTGTATATTTATTTTTGTGTGAACTGTTGTAGGTAGGGAACAGTCACCTGGAAGCAGCTTGAATACCAGTGAGGAGGAGCTGAGCACTGCAGGCATGAACGTGACTCAGAGAGGTAACGTTGCTGGACACCCAGTGCTACTTACCATCACCAGACATGATGTACTTAACAGACAGGGAGTTTCAACTGCAGGAAACTGGGCCATAACTGGACAGGGCTGAGAACTTCAGAAGCTGTGTTTTTAGCGCTAAGTTAAAGTTCAGCCTAAGGGGGATGGGTATGTTCCAAAGATGGGTTTGTGGAAGGACTACTGGGACAATTAAAATGCCTGTTGAAACCGAGACGGAGGCCATACACTGGCCAGCAGGGCGGCGCTGCTGCTCTGTATGAAAGCGGCTTGCCTGAGCCCGTTGGGGTTTGTGATTCCTGCTTAGCTGCCTGGCCGCCACGGCGGGCCGCGGGTGCTGCCAGCGTGACACCAGCTCATGGGATTATGGGATGTTTAGGATGTGATTTGTCAAAGCTAGCCTTTGAAAGGAGCCATGAAAATTCTCCAGCGTTGGAAAAAAAGGGGGGGATTTGGATTCCTGCGCTTATGTAATTCTGGCAGTACAGTAATGTTTCCTACATCCAGGGTATTCCAGAGGAAATTCCATTGCGATTACAGCTTTAGCTTCTTTGCAGACTGTACTCTTCCTTTTCTACTGCATTCTTCCTGCTGATTTTCTTTTTTTTTTTGCAGCGAAACTGGGGGACACCAGTGAGCTTCAGAGTTTTATCGACAATCTGGACAAGGAACTTGCAGGTAAAATAAGATAAATCTGTGACGATGGGGGGGGGGGGGTTTAAAAAACTGATGGTTGGATTATTTGTGGTTGAGAAAGAACAGCAAACTTAATTTTAAAAAAATTCAGCTTTTGTCACCAAAGTTTGTGTGACATCATCCACAGAACATGCAAAAGTGAGACACGTGATGGGTTAACACTTAAATGCTTTTAAGCCATAGTGCATCCACATTTAGAACTGGGGGCAGAACTCAGAGAATTACTCCAAGATTATCAGGCTATTCGGCTCATGCACCGTTGGTAGCTGCCCGTGAGTGTAACCATTCGTTACGCCGTTATGTCCCAATTAGCGCAGAGAGATTTGTGTTAGTGATGCCTGATAACCCTGGGCTGCTCTCCACCCTCTTTCGTGGTGCACAACAAAGGCAGCTCTGGGTAAAGCGTGAAACGTCACGTTCTGCGGAGTTCTGTCGATGGCTCACATCCTTGATTTCCGCGAGCGAGAGCTGCCGCCCATCAACAGCGACTTATTTTAACAAGAAAGTGACACATCTGAAAGCCCGAGGGGGATGTAGAAGCGTCACTTTGGCTGACCCCCCCCTCGCTCTGTATCAGCGGAGGGGCAGCTGTCTGACATGATGTTCAGTGAAGACTTCAGCAGTATTAACGAGCTTCTACTACATCAAGTCTCGTCCCCCATGATCTAACAAGGGGCTTGTGCGTACAAATCAGGCCATTGTTGCTTTTCTTAACTGTACCTACTTTATCTCCCTGACAGAGATGTAAGCCCAGGGAATCCAATCAGGCCAGAGCGTGCGGCTGGTGCTGCCCGTCCACCACCAGCAGAGAGGGGACCGCAAATCCCCGTCGTCCATTAAAACGAGTCCCATCCCTCCCCCGCTCTGGGTGAAAGGTCAAAAGTAGCCAGTAAAAAATATGACACAATCAATCCACTTGGTCCCTGACTGAAGAGAGAGCCGGATGAGTTCCCCCGAGTCCTTGAGGATGGGACTTGGCTGACAGTGAAGCTGCGAAGTGACTAAATCCTCTTCTAATTAAAATGTGTGTCTGAGCTGATGAGGTCCCGGGTTTGCATAGCACACATCTCCATCAACAGACTCATAATTAGTGCGAAAAACCTGGCGTCCTGCCGATTGTCGGAGAATGGAAGGGCTTTTTAATTATGATGTCAAATAAATAACTGAGTTGCAGTGGTTTTATATTTTAAAAAACTGGGGTCAAAGAGGAGGGTCGACACAATAAATGCAAGTTTTACAGAATTTGCTTTTGTGGATAAATCAAGACTGTAAATGTATTTTAGTGTATTTTATTACACCACTGGGGGCTTTTTGTGAAAAATGTTATAGTTTTCCGTTGTACAGAAGTTGTAAAATATTGAAAAAGAATATTTCGTTTTGTATCCGTATGTACAGTGACTGACAATGTTGAACTGATTGATGTACAATATATTTTTATGTGAATTTTAAATGTGCAGTATTATAATGACACTGAATACCATATGGTGTCTTTTTTTAAATTAAATTACAAATGTGCCTATTTTTGAATCCCTGCATGTTTCTAGAATGCTACTATAGTGTAAACTTAGATGCATCAATATTAATAAACTAACCAATACATTTTCTTACTTTCATTTCTGCATTTTCTGTGACCATGTGTATTTAGTGGTTTTACTGGATGGATATTTTTACTGTTTATTGTAATAACAAAAATACTGCAGTGCACCATTTTCCTAAGGTACACCCCTCTGATTACAGGAATATGAGTGACTGCAAAACAGGTCAGGTCAGGTTGGGGAGCACACACTGATGCAGTGCGTCGCTGCACCCACCACACAGCAAAACTCCTCGGGATCCCGGCCGGTGATCTCCCAGGCAGATACATGGTCCAGTCCCACCCTCCGGGAATGGCCATCCATCTGCCGCAGCCAGGTGTTACGTGGGCGTCCCCTCAGCTTGGTCCAGCCACTCAGGTCCTCAGCAATGAGGAACCTGTGAGCTGGATCACCCTCAGGGAAACGCGCCACATGGCCGTAGTGCTGTAACTGATGCTCCCTCACAATGCAGGTAATGTGCCTCATTCGGGACTCCTCTAGCAACCACTCATTCAACACAAAGTCAAACCAGCGGTACCCAAGGATTATTCGGAGAGGCCCAGTACTGAAGGAGTCCAGTCTTTGTCTCAGCTTAGTCAAGTCAAGATTAGTAAATCTTTCTTCAGTAACGGACACCCCACAGCCACTGGAGCCCATGACCCTGCCCAACACCCAGTCCATACAAGTATTGAACAGCATAGCAGCAAGAACACACCCCTGGCGAATCCCAGAATCAATTGGAATTCAACCCCCCCTCCCTGCACAGTACTCACACTACCAGTGTACAGGCTGGCCTTGATGTCCAGTAATTTTGGGGGGATCCAGCAACGTCTCAGAATTTCCCACAGGGCAACTCGATCAACTAAGTCGAACGCTTTACAAAAATTGACAAAGGCTGCAAAGAACCTCTACCGATATTCGAACTTGCACTCGATGAGAACCCTCAGTGCCAGGATACGGTCAATGGTAGACTTCTTAGGCGTAAAACCAGGCTGCTCCGACCGCTGGCAGGCAGGCAAGTGAGCAGGGATCACGGATCAAAACATTTAGATATAAATGATTTGCAAACATTAACACTGTAATCTTGCAATTTCCAATAGATCACTCTGGTTTAAAACCTGCGGAGTGTCTTTGGGATTAACTGGGACATAGAATTAGGGCAAAGCAAGACAGATCCCTTTGGTAGTAGAACATACTAGTATAACACAATAAGACTGGTTTTGTACCAGAAACCTCTGTAATGCACTGAAGCTACAATTAAGGCCAAATGTAGACTGGAATGCTATTAATCTTTGCTCGTAATGGGATAAGTACCATCCACTTCAGTAATGCAGCAACTGATTTGTTTGCTCAGTTCCTGTTCAGCAAGTAATTCGGAAAAGACAAGCAAGCTGTCCAAGACAATAGTAACAAGGGTGGATTCAACCGAAGTCCAGTGGGGTCATTTTGTTTCTGCTGTTGTGATTCTGGGATCCCTTCCTTCGGAGAAGGAACGTCTTGAAACATCCCCGTTCGCCAGGGGCTCTCAGATGTGCCCGCATCTATCCTCACTTCCTCTCCAAAAACCCAGTTTCGGTTGTCGTCAGCTTCTGTCGAAAAAAAGGAAATCCATGCATTCAGGCCTCCAGCAGAGAGCTGACTCCTCAGGCAGGACGTGCGTTATTTGCACAGCAACACAATACTGATGTTTATCACTGTTTAGACTCGCTGTAGGAATCTGTCTGCAGTTTGTTGCAGTTAAATTTGTCTGATTTGTAATTTTTTTTTCAAATCTGTACTGCTGAGAAAATAAAGGTCAGCAATTTCGAAGTTCCAAATAAGAATATTGAGCAATACCGGGTACATCTTTGGAGGATGATTAAATTATCAGAGAACTATCCATCCAGTCATCTCCCAAGTATGTATCCAGGTGCCTATCCCTGGAGGCTCAGGGCGTAAGACTGGGAGCACCCTAGACGAGACACCAGTAAAAAAAATAAATCACTATGTTAAATGGCTAGCTATTAGTTGCATAACTGACATTTCAATTCGAAATGACAAACTCTTGCCCATTTATAGAGATGGACATTTTACTGCATTTGTCTAATCTGTCTTGCTCATATGTACCACATTTCCCCAGATAGTGTTGTACGGCTTTACATTAAGTTTCCTGCCAACCCAGATGTCTTTAAAAATACTTTTTGTTTACATTTGATTTTGTTAAATCAATAGTGAATGCATAAATACATGGCAAAAGCTAATTTATGCATGCAATCTGTGGGTATGAAAGGCGTTTGTCGAGAGAATAAGGTTTGTAGGGTGTGAGAGTATGTAAGTAAGCACTTACAGTAGATATGAGCTTAATTGGTCATGAGGTATGTGCACTTTCTTGGTTTTCCAAGGTGAATTTGCATTCGGAGAATAGGCCGTTCTCCATCCATGCTAACGCTTTGTTGTTCTTTTTGCAGGCACACTCCTTTGCAAGATGTTTAAGTGCAGCTTGCGTCACACTTTGAGCAATATGCAGTGGCGGAAGATGGTTTCTTGTTGTTCTGTCACTCAGGCAACAGTGCTTCAAAGGGAAGCGTGTAGTTGACGGCTGTCTCGACCGACTCGCCTGAAAAACACCTTACTTAAGGCCATGTTTTTAGTATTTTATAAACACATTCATAATGCATTATAATGCATCCATAAAGCATTATAAACATGGCTATGAATATTTATAAAAAGCCGTAACACATTATAGGCATGTTTATTATGCATTATGAAGTTCTCATCTATAATGCACTGTAGATACATTCATCATGCAGTACAAAGCATCCTTAATGTTCATAACAACCATTATAGTGCATTATAAAGATATATAGTGCATTATAAATGACAGCTTCATAGAGCATTCACAATGCATAACACATGGCTATAATATGTCATGCCTTTTGATAAATATTTATAGCCATGTTTATAATGCTTCATGAATGCTTTAATATTTGTCATAAATGTGTTTATAAACTACTAAAAACATGGTCTCTAAGTGTTAACCTCATTTGTAACCCCACAGCCTCCAAAGCCCCACTGGATACGTCACCTCCGATGTTTTTTTCCGAAATGCCACAATGCAGCTGGGTGCTTGAAAGTCTTTGCTGACTTCCTCCCATAGCTGAATGCACCACTTCCTCATTGCGAGTCTTCATGTGATTTCGGTTAGCTGACTTCATAAACAAGTCATCATTTTAAGTCACACCGCCGACATTTAGTGTGTAATAAATATTTTTGCTTAATAAGTTCCTTCACTCTGTCATAAATTCTCTATGGTACAATCTTCGTGCATCACTAATTCATCCATTTGTAAGATTGTTCATTAATCTGAGACATCTGTTACAGTCAGTTGCCTGATGAAGTTGTTTGTTCTAAATTCTCAGTAGGGTTTCTCACTATTGTGGCTGTAGTCTGGATTGTACCTAAGCTGCATTTCTATACAAATTATCCAGCTGACTACATGCATACAAATTCCAGGTGTTTAAGTAATCAGGAGGAAATACTTCCTGTTCAAATACATTTCAAATTTATCGATAATCTTTGCATAATAATGTGTAAGGCAATTGCTTCTTTTAGAAGCAATAAATCAAAAGTTACATTTCAGTTACTTACATAACACTTTTATCTAAAGTGCCCACTTAATAGCTTGATAATTTCACTGGACATACACAGGTTTAGTACACAGTGTGACCTTCTCCTGGGACTTGAACCTTGGGTTTACCAGTCAATACCTTGACCACAAGGTTAATCACTCATATTAGTCTGGAATAAAAAAGTCAGTACGTAGGATTGGGCTTAGCTTAGCCATTGCTAAAGGGCCGTTCCCTAAGGGACAGACAAGCTGGACATTCCTCAGATTCCCTGTTTGATTGCTCGCTTCCTGCACTGGACAGCCTGATGCGGAGGCACACGTAGCATCCTCGCATTATTCCAAACTTGACCCGTTTTGTGTACACATGACCCCGGCTTCTGACATTCACCGCCATCACGTTTCCTGATGCAGAAAGATAACGACGGATAACTGGTCACCCTACCACAGTTTGTTACGGATTGGGAGATTTTTTAATGATTTTACAGTTTGCGAACTTCCTGCTTATGCTGGAAGTGGATGTTATGGGGCAGAGATGTACTGGCGTGAGAATGATAGCTAATGTTTAGCCCATGAGCAAACTGAGGCGGGTAGGGTCTGAAGAGGGAGGACACTGCGAGGGTGCACCCACTGGGCGAAATCATGCCGCACTCGATAGGAGCAGTGAGTCTAATGGCTTTCGCTGTGAAAACGCCCCCCTCCCCCCGTGTTTTTTCCAGTAATGAAACAGGAGGTGTTGTTCATCCCATTAAACAGAGTGATGAAGAGGTTATGATTAGCCAACCGTTATCAACTGGAGCTTACAGCAACAAAATATTACTCAGAGGACACTGCTGCTATCAACTGTGTAATTCATTTGCTTAGCAGAAACCCCGTTCTGGACTTAACAAAGGCGGACAAAGTATTTAATGAGGGATGTCAAAATGAAGATCTTTGTAAAGGATTTTACAGCAGTACCAAACACAACCCATCTCAGCAAGCAAAGCATCAACCCTGCATACATTTTTTTAAATCAAAAATTCCTTTTATTTTATTATTTTGCCGTCATAATGGACAATTAAATAAATACAACAAAAATTAGTGTTTTTTTTTGTCAGCATTCTCTATTATGTCATAATAAACCCTAACATACTGTATTCTGTATCATTATATACAGAGTTGAGAACTTTATTAAAAATTCATAAATTAAGTAAAACGTAAACAGGTCACTCATCACCCTTGAAACAGTTAATGGCATAAGAGGTGCCATGTAAGTGACACGACTTGTGAGATAATGGGACTGAGCGATAAATTAATTTAATTTCCAAAAATATACTTAAAGTGCTTGTAAGAGGCCTTGGTTGCAGTCTAAAGAGAGAATTAAAAAAGGCTGAATAAGTCTTGGGACGGCATGGTGGTGCAGTGGTTAGCACTGTTGTCTCCACCTCTGGGACCT